TGTATGGGTTCCACATTTCTATATATAGAGTGTGCGGAGGGTTTGCACTTTAGTGCTTTCCTTTACTACTAAGAAGTTTCTTTCTGAAATCCAATCCAATTGCAATTGGTGTCTAGATTTGTTGTTTCAATCCCAATAGAACATGCGGTATTAATTATATTATCACGTTTTAATGTGGTCGGATGTTGGTGAGCAAAGATGATGTGATATCATGTAACCGTAAGAGACACCAGTTCATGTTCTTTGTGGTGGGCGTCATTTGGAGGGGGGCGAGGTGTGAGAAAGAGAGGGAACCATTGGTCGCAAGAGAGAGAGGGTGAGGGGAGGAGGAGGGGACCCAGGTCCAGCAAGACGTGGCCACTCTGTCGGCTAAAGAATCGACCACTTGCTTCCAAACTCACCTGTAGAAATCACACGTGCCATCATGGTAAGTATTATCAATACACGAGATCTGTGACGTGTCACTACATAACTGCATGCTTTGCTCCTGGGATCTATGACACTAATTATAGTTAAATAGAGATGTACAAAATGTGTTGGTAGTAAAGATGAACCTCATGCTGGTATACTGTATAACCGAGTTTTGTGAGGGAGAAAGACACCTTCCATAGTTGCAGGAGAAATTAAAGTGCAAACCCTCGGCGAACTGCGCATGCGCGGTACTGCTAAGGACACCCCTGAGAGTATAAGGACACCTTTTCTTTCCCTACCTAAAAGCAGTTTCTTGCAATGAGGACACATCACTAATACGGACACTCTCTTCTGTCCTATTGGCGCCTGGATTAGAGGGGTTCCACCGCACATGACGCACATATTATTTACATTGTATGTACATAATGCACATCTTACACACCTGAAGAGTGAGGTCAGAGAGGTTGGAATCACAGGTGAAGCTGGCCACTAGAGTATGGGAATAGTCAGTCTTCTTGAACGAAACTATTTTCTGTTGACATTCTCTGCTGGCCACACTGTATCTTGGGTACAGGAATGTCTGAACCATCAGCTCTGTAGAGAGGGCAGCAACATAGTTCCTTGACTGAGTACTAAGGAACAAAATCCCTTCCATTCACTGAACATGCGACAATCTTCCCTTGGGTGCTTTGTATGGTGTGTCTTCCTCTCAATCAGTCATATCCAGCAGTCGTGATCTCGCTGTACTACATAGCGTTATGGGCTTGGTTAGATCTACTACACTACTGCGTAGTTTATTTGCTCCCTCACTGAACAGGCTACATACTACCAACCATTATGATATAGACATTTCATGAATACAAGGTGTGTAGGTATAATATATAATAATACTGCTCCACAATAATGCCCAAGGAGAGAATGTTATGGCCCCATGCTGCAGATTTATAGTGTGATTGATCGTCACCTGTGTTATTCTCAGAGAGAGTGTGTTCGTGGAGTCTGACTCCCACCATAGACGTGTCGGGGTTGTAGGTCAGTTCCAGCCTCACTTTCCCTACTGGCGGACCTACATAAGTATAGCGGACAAGATACTACATACACAGTGCATGATGCCAATGTTGTCTGTTCCAAGGTGGTCAGTTGCTTACGAATGCAAAGTAACTATGTACCTACATATGTGTGAATGTTTGACATAAGCTCTTTCATTGGAACTTTTAGCAGGAATTTTCCCCTGTGTGTGCATTCAATGAGTGACTGATGTGGATTAAAGGGAAGAGGAGGGGCTTACTTTCAGGGATGGCCGGCTCGGAGCTCCTCCTCTGCAACAGTGGACTCGGGTTAGAGTTGGAGGCCACGTGATGAGTCCTGTTTCTCCTCAGCCATCTCGGCCTGGAAAGAGAGAGAGAGGAACGTAAAAGTGACGCTATTAAACAGGAAACTTTTGTGCAAATGTTGTTGCTTCCATCGTGCGAAAACAGAGAAAAATTCTTCATTCAGCACCAAAAAAGAAGGGGTATAGAAAAGTCTTGTTTGGCAATAGTAAATATGTCGAGAAAGAGGCTCACTTTATTTTCTGGAGAGGGAGAGCCCCGAGAAGGTCCTCAAATGATCTCCACCGTGATATTCTCTCCCCCGAAGAGGACGGGGAAGAGGAGGAGGCACCTCACCATCAGCCTGAGAACCTCTCTCCCCGTCTCCCGTGGCTCGAAATCTCGGATTCAGGGAGATCGCGTTGACTCTCCCGATTGGCATACTGCTGTGTAGGGACGACTCTCCTTCGCCTGCGTCTCTGCCCGTGACTCCGCCCGTGAGTCCACCCACATCTCCACCTTTGACTCCGCCCACCTCGTCAGAGCCGCTGTTGTGGGAGCGAGGTCGACTGTTGGGTGTGGTGTGATCGTCCTCCACCGACGAGCCACTGCTGGAGCCACGACTGATAGCATGGCACCGCGTCCGAGTGAGCGGAAGATGCTCCCTGAACCCCAGTCCCTCTCTTCCTCCTCCCTCCTCTTCCCTCTCGTCTCCCGATAGAAGGTTCTCTGCACTTCGCGATTTCATCTTTGTGGCTGAATTCACACTCCCGAACCCATCGTCCACGGTGTGGGAGCGACTATAGAGCAGTTTCGAGGCACTTGAGCTCCCTGTCTTTAGAACCCTCGCGGGACTCTGTTTCTTTGGAGTTTCTTCGTCTTTTAGCTCCTCTTCGGCTGAGTACCAACTACCGTCTGATAAAACAGCACCTGAGGTCGTTTCAGGAGTCAGCAGACCGGCAGATTCAATCTTTTGGAAATCTTCTGCCGTGACGTCGCTCCACTGGTAGTCAGTAGTGGAAGGTGTTATTTCGCTGTGGACGCGACGATGGGCCGAACCAGGGGAGGGGTCGAGTGAGGATGATGACGTCGTACTCGTTAAGGGTTGTCTCGTAGTGTGTTGTGGGGAAAAGAAGGGGGAGGAGGAGGAGGAGAACGGGGGGCTGAGCGGAACGATTCTGTGTTTGAAATCTCCGGAGAGAGACCAGCGTCGTTTCGTTTCTTCTTCCTCCACGGGCACATCGCCGTCTGTCACGTCTTCACCAGCCTCGGTCGCAGCTCGTTTCCTCTGTAGAGTGGCGAGGTCGATGCTATGCATGGCGGGGAGGAGCGAGCCTCGCAGAACACTCAGAATACCACCGAGTTTCTTGCGACGGAGAGTGTTGCTCTCCCTGGCAGCCATTTTTCGAGACATTAGCGGGGAAGTTGGCACGCTGAACGAGGCACTCTCGTCCATAGCTCCCACACGTGATATCACATCCGGGACGCGCCTCGAAGAAATATCGTGACCGTTGCCGAAGCCACCGGGTCTTCCGTTTTGGAGGCTACCTGCTGACACTGGCGGACCGGGGACGTGAGGTGGAGAATTAAAGAGCCCCGACAGAGGTTTTCTCTCCTTTCTCGTCCGCCGCGGCATCGTTACATTGGCTCCTTGGAGCTTCCTGAAGCTGGCTTCTAGACCGTCCATACTAGAGCTGGGGGGAAGTCGGCCGCCATTTTCGGCCGCCAGAGCGTCAATTCCCATCGACATTGGTCTTCGGAGGCTCTGCAAGGCGTAGCCGGTCCCTCGTCGCACTCGGTGGAATATGTCTTCTTTCTTGGCCTTTTTGACGAGGACGGCGTTGGGCGGGGGAGGGAGGTTGGGGTCTGTCTTGCACATTCTGAACCAGCTGGGGTGCCCCTCTAATCTGACGGCATCTCTGTCCGATAGAGACACAAGTACCTGAGAAAGAAGGGGAGGACAAAAATGGCTGATGTAGACGTCTATGCTGACGGCTAAAGTGAAACATAACGTAATTGATTCTGCCTCCATCGGCAAAACACAATTGGTGATGCAGACGTCTAATTGTGTAATATGCTGACTGCTATGTGAAAACATGCATAATTGACTCTGGCTCCAAGGGCAAAAACTGTACACGGATCTTGAAAATGCCAAGCTTTAAGAGTAAGAAAAGTGGTCCAATTGAAAAAGATCTTCTATTTATATACCTCTCCAATGAAATTTGGGTGTTTGGAGTTCTTGGCCTCCCACAGAATAACTCTCAGAGCCACTGACTTCAGCTGTATATAAAATAAAAAAAGTATGTATTGAATAGTACAGTAGTACATTCGTCCACCAAGTTGGGTTCATGCATTATGCCAAAGAACAAAAGTGAGGCATTGGTGAATAGTGAACCATGCAGTGGGGCTCATGTGACGTAACGTTATGCACCCAGGGGAGAGAGAGCCTGGGATTTGGAGAGTGCAGACAGACAGTGATGTATACTACTTGAAACCTGTTGTCTGGTGATTGTGTAGAACTGAGGATTCTCCAAGTCTGAGACGTGACTCAGCACATCACAGGACCTCACTCCCTGCTTCCTGTCACCGCAAACACACACACAAAATAAACAAACAAAATCTTTGTATACAAACACATCACATTTACGCACTGTACATTAGGCAGATTTGGTAGCAAGCAGACGTGTAAACAGAGTGTGACTAATAGTTTACATTTGCACTGCATTCTATAGCTATAGTCAAAGTATTCAGGATTATTGGTTGGCCTGTCTTTCCCCCCACTTGCTT